CTGTACTGTTAGATTTCAGTGCAGCCTGAAATCTAACAGTACAGTTCCCACAATCTTCTTATTAGCTATTTATTTCAACCAATCATCAGTCATTTGTGTCAGTGCATTACGCAGATATAATTGACAATAACCTGTTGTTGAGAAAACACATGTGTTATGGCTTTTCAACCTTTGCATATCGAGGATTCAGAGCTATCTATCTAATAGAACTCAGAGGGTTTTCTTTAATGGAAGCTTCTCTAATGTCAAACATGTAAAGTGTGGTGTACCACAGTGCAGCTCTCTAGGCCCTCTACTCTTTTTTTTTTTTTTACCCATAACCTGCCACTGGCATTAAACAAAGCATGTGTGTCCATGTATGCTGATGATTCAACCACATACACATCAGCAACCACAGCTAATGAAGTCACTGAAACCCTTAACAAAGAGTTGCAGTCAGTTTTGGAATGGGTGGCCAGTAATAAACTGGTCCTAAACATCTCTAAAACTAAGAGCATTGTATTTGGTACAAATCATTCACTAAGTTCTAGACCTCAGCTGAATCTGGTAATGAATGGTGTGGCTGTTGAACAAGTTGAGGAGACTAAATTACTTGGTGTTACCTTAGATTGTAAACTGTCATGGTCAAATAATAAATAAAGAGATGCTCTGCATTTTTGACACCACACTCCACAAAGCAAGTCATACAGGCTCTAGTTTGATCTTATCTTGATTATTGTCCAGGCATATGGTCAAGTGCTGCAAAGAAAGACCTAGTTAAGCTGCAGCTGGCCCAGAACAGAGCGGCACATCTTGCTCTTCATTGTAATCAGAGGGCTAATATTAATACTATGCATGCCAGTCTCTCTTGGCTGAGAGTTGAGGAAAGACTGACTGCGTCACTTCTTGTTTTTATAAGAAACATTCATGTGTTGGAAATTCCAAATTGTTTGCATAGTCAACTTACACACACACTTACCCCACCAGACATGCAACCAGGGGTCTTTTCACAGTCCCCAGGTCCAGAACAAATTCAAGGAAACGTACAGTATTATACAGAGCCATGAGTGCATTGAATTCCCTTCCATCTTATATAGCGCAAGTGAACAGCAAACATGGTTTCAAAAAACAAATAAAGCAACACATCACGGCACAACACCTCTCCCCCATGTGACCTACTTGTTGTGTGTATATACTGACATGTATGTGTAACTGATAGATGCACACGCACACTACATGTTAATGTTTTTAAATGTATGTCATTTGTAAGGTATTTTTTGTCTGTAATCTCTTTTTCATTATGTCGGACCCCAGTAAGGTTAGCTGTTGCCCATTGGCGTCGGCTAATGGGGATCCTAATAAATCAAATCAAAACTCATATTCACTGACTGAGGCTAAGTGTTAACACTTCCAACAGTTTTCAACAGTTACACTTCAACAATGAAAATAAACAAACACAATAGCGCACCCGGTGGATTATTGGAAAACATCTGTGTTCTTTGCAAGATCTAACAAAATGTGGGAGATTTTCAGGATCTAAGATTGACAAGAACCAGGATCTAATATTGTTGTTGGACTGTGGCAGGATACAGGAAAATGATAGAATGTATTAGATAGCATTTTCCCTCCCGTATAATCCTCTACACATCCTGTACAATCATACCAACAACATACTACCACTATTAAATCCAACCGCAAGCAACCACAAACTAAAGCACAACCACCAACTACCACACTAAAACAACCACAAACTACTTCCCTTTACCACCTTCTGTCCATGCCTCCTCAAGGCAACAGCACACACAGGAGGGATATTCCCATCTTGTCACCTCCTCTACATTTTCTCCTGTCCTGTGTTAATAGCAGATTGCACCATAGCATACTTGTCTGGCTCCTCATTGCACATCCACCTAGACAGCCTACCTCAGTCAAAGGTTCTTCGCAGTTTGGGAGGTGGACACAATGCAGTTGTCAACAGTGATGGAGAGGTCTTGGAGCTGGCAGGTCTCCCAAGGAAGGAATAGCAGCATTGTCTTTTAGAGTTTGAGCTTGAGGGTGTGGATCAACATCCAAGCGGAGACATCTTCCAGAAACACAGAGATAATATGTGTCAGGTGAGTGGCAGAAAAATAGTTGAGTGCCATCAGCATACCAGTGTTAAGAGAGACCCAGAAATGCCAACACAGAGGGGGAGAGCAGAATACTATACATATCAATAACTTGCCTAGTATCATCATTTGCGGTAGAGTGCCTCGCACCATCACATCTGGAAAAAACAGAAACCACCAGTGAGAAAGATTAGACAACCCTTAGCCTACATGCAGTATAAAGACTCCATTCATAAAGCCCTTTTACATCAGCAGCTGTCACATGCACACTTCTACATTTTACTGCCATACTTGTCTCAGCAAAGATGAGCATGAGATGGAGAAAGGACAGACAACCACGCTGTTACAAACTGTAGCTAGAGCATCCATCTACTTGAAGGAGCAGCTGAGCAGAAACGAAAACGAGACTACAAAGAAGCAAGAAATAAAGGGGAGACTGGTAAAGAGTTGAAAGAGCATCCACCTACTTGAAGAAGTAGCTGTGGAGACCTCTGTACCTCCAACTGCCAGCGGGCTCTGCCCAGGCCCCAGCCTCTCCAGGGTCAGCCAACTTCAGGCTGAGTCACTCTGGCCTGCGGTCTAGCTATATCGGTTGGGAGACCACAAAAGGCAGATACATCCTCCATACGTATATGACAAGCCCTTTTAGTTAGAATTGTTTGTATGAAAAGGTGCATGTTAGCTAGCCAATTAAACAAACCGTATGACGCAGGAACCAAATAATGCTGGGATAGTCGCAAATGGGCCTAGGCTAGCAAAGGCTGCTGAAGGTTGAGTTGTTAACTACGATGATTTGGTCATGCGGTTTCCCTTTATCTGTAAACAGACAAGAGACAACAACACACAGTAGAAATGTAAACATTAGCTAGCTGACGCTAACTGTTTTGAACCTGTTGAAAAGCAACTTCCAATGCTCCTTCATGTTCTTCATAAAATTTTTTGTCATTTAGCAGACACTCTTATCCAGAGCAACTTACAGTTAGTGAGTGCATACATAATTTTTTTTATTTTTCATACTGGCCCCCCGTGGGAATCAAACCCACAACCCTGGCGTTGCAAACGCCATGCTCTACCAACTGAGCTACATCCCTGCCGGCTATTCCCTCCCCTACCCTGGGCCAATTGTGCGCCGCCCCATGGGTCTCCCGGTCACGGCCAGCTACGACAGAGCCTGGATTTGAACTAGGATCTCTAGTGGCACAGCTAGCACTGCGATGCAGTGCCTTAGACCACTGCGCCACTCGGGAGGTTAAGGTTAAGTTGTTTCATCTTCAGCTGAACATTTCTAATGTGCTTTGTTTAAATATTGACATAAGCTGTACTCTATTCAAAATGTTATTTTCCTTCTGCTTCAAATAGTCCCGCGAATATGACCTATCCCATTTTAACCAATCCAATCTCTGTTTTAACTTTGACATAGTGTCCGTTATCGGTATGGAGTAATTTCAGTGCCCCCCCCAAAAAACAAAAATCATTGCCAAGATAAATTGTATTTGAATTCATTCAATTCAGTTTGAAATCATGAAATACAAGTTCAATTTATTAAATCAATGATTCAATTTGAGCATTACACGTTCAAATTCAATATCTTAATCCAAATTCAAAATTGTGGAATTCAAATACATATTGCCACTGAAATCACTCCATACATTGGCGTCAGCTGAGCTGATGGAGGCTGGACAACACTTCATCAGAGATTTTAGATTTCATTAGAATAAAGCCCTCCATTTAAACCCAGTCGCATCATTGAGAAAATAAGGTGGAAATATTGAGTCATACAAGCTAAAGAAAATAAGTGAAGTCTACAAAGAAGAGAAAGAACACACACACACTCACAGCTCCATTTCATTTGTATGTTTGGTACACCATCACTAGGTGCTTGTGTCTGCAGGAGCCAGGTAGGCCTAATAGTTTGTCTATCTGGGATTTCACCTCTTGCCACTGCATTTCTCACTTCAGGTTCACAGATACAACCATGGGTGATGGAGATTTATCGTTTTAAGCCTTGTATAAATCACCACAGTAATTCATAATTTCATCACTACATAATCATGGGCTATACTTATGCAGCAGAGTGGATGGGAAGAAAAGAGAGATGGAGTGAGGATGGGAGATGGGTGACATGATGTCACATACCAATATGACCCAGATTTGACAAGTCAAGCCCCCACCACACCCGCTGCTGAATAATGCTCAATAAATGCACTACTGCAGCTGTTGTGTCTGCTGATCCATGCAACGCCTCAAACCAGATCAATAGATCTAGCTGCAAGGTGGCTCCCTTGACAGAATGCATGGCTCTGTGCAGAGCATAAGATACATGTGCTGTTGTCCATAAACTCATCTGTGATAGATAATTATTTCACAAACACAGCAGGCAACAGCCACTGTATCCATGTCTGTTAAAGCATTGATTAATTAGCCTACATTGAATCATATTTTAGAGAGAGAAGCAACCTTTACTTGCAAGTGCATACCACAGACACCTCACTCAAGTGAAACTGCTCCCCTCTCCAAGTGGTCACATTTGCAGCGCAATATGTGCTTTACAGTATTTAGACTCAATAGAAAACGCCACAGAATAAATAAATAAATCATTATTTCTGTCACACCATAATAACCTTTAATGGCTTCATCATGATTGCCGTGTGCTTGTTACAGCACTTATTATAAGGTGTGCACTCTCATGTTTGCAGGGTTCCATCTACTGGGGAAAAAGAGACCATGTCCATAAAGCACATTTTTCAAAAAAATTTATCCAGATTATTAAATCATCTATTTATATTTGCAAACTCTATATTTGATTTAAATTCAATTATGTAGCAGAAAATGCTCTCGGGAAATGCAAGTGAACAATTCATTAATTGTAGGCATATTTTTGGACCGCTATATTCGACAGACAGAAACACGTGGGATCATTTTCTTCCATAGGTCTACACAACGTGAGAAGCATGCCGAAGTCAAAGAGAGACAAGAAAAGTAGTTTTTTTATGTCATTCATCCAGTAGATGAAGGGTATATGTAGTCTAGTGTATTGCTTGATGTAACAGTTCACGAGTAAAGCATGTATAGGGTATGTCTTGCATCAAGAGGTGAAAGAGGAGCCAGCTAGCTAGCTAGGAAGTTAACGTTAGCTACATAGCTAGCACCAGCTGTGGAGATACGCTAATAACTAGCTAGCTAATTATGTTTACCAAGATAGCTAATGCTGAAAATACTTTGTTGTCCTGTATGTATCAAATCTGATTGTTTGCCTTTTTCACTTCCTCTTCAGTTTCACTAACAAAAACAGCCAAGAAGGGGCTGGAAACCAAACAGAACTTAATAGAAGAGGTAACTACGTCTACTGATGCCCATTCAATTCTAGCTAGCTAGTTGTTTCCTGTCTGACATAGGTATCTAGCTAATAAACGTTTGACTAATAGTATGTATGTCCATGTCTTTATAGTTGCGGAAATGTGTGGACATTTACAAGCATCTGTTCATCTTCTCTGTGGCAAACATGAGGAACAACAAATTGAAAGACATCAGGACAGCCTGGAAACACAGTCGGTAAGGACACACACAACACAGGTCTATGCAGCCTGGTTCTCATTACTCAGACAAATCTAATTGTCAGACCCCCATGACGTGGTATGCATATATGTATGTGCAGTTGACTTGCTGGTTTGACAATGAGGTGATGTTTTTCTTCTCCTTCAGATTCTTTTTTGGCAAAAACAAAGTAATGATGATTGCTATAGGGAAAGGACCAACAAGCGAGTACAAAGACCACTTGCACAAGGTATGCTATATTTGTTGTGATGGAGTCATGTAGACTCATGAGTGAAGGTCTTGTAATTTTGGTTGCACAAAGACACTTTGCAAGGAGTTTAATTAATGTTGTTCTCTGTTTATTTTGTAGGTCAGCCGGTTTCTGAGAGGAGAAGTGGGTGTGTTATTCACAAATAAAACCAAGGAAGAGGTACAAGAGTAAGTAGACCTATGTCTTGCATTTCTGTTAAAGATGTACCATCATTTAGATTCAGTCCATTTTTGTGTTCATCTGGTGCTGCGGCTGATTCCTTGTCCTCCATGGTAGTTTCATATAAGTTGTTTTTCTCTTGATAAATGTTTTTCAGATATTTCAGCCAGTTCAAAGAGATGGATTTTGCACGAGCGGGAAACAAGGCAGGGATGGCCGTAACACTTGATGAAGGACCCCTGGAACAGTTCCCTCACTCCATGGAGCCACAGCTGAGACAGTTGGGACTCCCCACAGCACTCAAGAAAGGTGAGAACCTGTCTCTGATGTTCAGTGAAACCTTTTATAAGTATGTAATGAAAGGATGGCTGTGACCTCCCTCTAGTGACCCGTTTTGTTTAATTTAAAGTAACTTTTTTTTAATGCTTCAAACTTCAACATCTGATCTAACAACCCAAGCTCTTCAATAACTAGTCAAGTTGACTTTTGATTACTTCCAAAGGGGAAGGATTACATTTACATTTACATTTTAGTCGACGCTCTTATCCAGAGCGACTTACAGTTAGTGAATACATTTTTTTTATTTAATTTTTTTTTATACTGGCCCCCCGTGGGAATCGAACCCACAACCCTGGCGTTGCAAACGCCATGCTCTATCAACTGAGCTACATCCCTGCCGGCCATTCCCTCCCCTACCCTGGACGACGCTGGGCCAATTGTGCGCCGCCCATGAGTCTCCCGGTCACGGCCGGCTGCGACAGAGCCTGGATTCGAACCAGGATCTCTAGTAGCACAGTTAGCACTGCGATGCAGTGCCTTAGACCACTGCGCCACTCAGGAGATTAAATGTTGCAATTGTTTTGTTGTAGGAGTGGTGACACTACTGAAAGACCATGACGTGTGCAAAGAGGGAGACACACTAACCCCTGAACAGGCCCGTATTCTGGTGAGTTCTAAACCTTTCCCCCAGTCTACACCTGATAGGCCTATGAGACATTCTGCAAGTCCACAGTTGCTAGATGCTTCCATAAATGGCTAATCAAATTATAATATTTTCCCCATATAGAAACTCTTTGGGATTGAGATGGCTGAATTCAGAGTGCAGATCAAGTGCATGTGGAACTCTGAAACGAGCGACTTTGAGAAGCTAGCTGAGGAAGAAGAGGAAGAAGCCATGCAGGATAATGATGACAAAGAGGAGGAAGAAGGGGATGGGAAATGAATCTGGATAGACCAATGGACTTCTCAGACCTTAGGTTTTTAAAACTGTGTGACCTGTATGTTTTGATGTCTCAACAAGTGTTTCTTTTTTGCCTATGAAATGCTTGATTTCTGAGGCACAAATTCACTGGCAATGTTACCCATGGAATCTTGTGTACATACATATTGTGCTTTATACATCTTTTTTTTTTGTCCACTCAAATACAATAGTACAAACTAAAACAGTATGCTTGGTTGTGTCGTATAAAACATCCCACAATTTTTTTTTTAGTGGGAATTGTTTATGCATGGTATAGCTTTGTTAAGCTATGTAAAATCGTTACCCACATCATGATCCTTACAAACGCACCGGCCATGGCAGATCAGTGTATAATCAGTGAGGAAAAAATACTCCCATTGTTCTCCAGTTTATTAAAGAAAGTTTTACCCTGAAAACGCACCTACCCTCTCAATTGATTCATTGAATTTACATGAAGTGCTCACCATTTAGAATATACAGAATCAAAGTAATCTGTGCCTTTCCTAGTTTGTTTGAATGAATACTTGCATCAATCTGATAACCAAACTGATTTATTTGTAATAGATCTCACTGTACATGTTAGTTAATTAGCCAATTGTTATAAAGCAAATGAGGAACATTTGCAACGGTTAGTGGAAAATGTCGATATAGTCAATCAGATGAACGAGGGTTGTTTAGACATCTAGCGGAAGTAGTTGGGGCCATTGTCAGCCTCCAGGTCCCAGACCTGTTTGAAGGCCTCCACCACCCGCTCATCTAGAGGTACAAGAGGACCCAACCATTAGCACTACATACACCACACTAACTAAACATTGTGTTGATAATTGTAAATAGTACTGCTAACATTGAGTGGCAATTGTCATGTTCAACTTATTGTGAAAAAGTGATTTATTTCATTTAAAGGTGGAATATGTAGAAATCGTTCTGACATTTCCTGGTTGATAAAATTGTAATAGTTAGCCTAATTTCAGTTTGTGACAAAAAAAAAGCAGTCATTGTGTAGAGAATCATTGTACCATCTAAACTGCTGTGAAATATATTTTCCATAACCAAACATATTGTATTTTTAGCTGTTTGATGCTGGTGTGCAAAACTACAAGTAATAGACTACAAAAAATAAACGTAAGAACGGGAAGCATAGAAATGGCGCACATAGAACAGATCTGCTTCTTAGACTTGCTTTCAATGGGAATGACAGATCTATAACTTTTGGTTTGGTCGCCCAAAAAGTTACATATTGTAGCTTTAAAATCAAAGTGACCTAGCTGATAGTGGGTTGTCCCTGTTCTTGTTGCATGTGGCTTGTTACCTTGAGGTGGGAGTGGTGGTACATCCAGTGTAGAGCAGCAGATGTCATAGTGGGTTTGTCTGAGCCATACACCGTCTCCAGTGCCTTCCGAACAAGGTCTGTAGTGTGGAAGTGGCTTTCCTTCCAGTACCTTACATACAACACATGAATCATCCAAAGGTAATGTTTTATTGTATCTAGTGTAAAGGTAATCTGGACAAATAATGTTTTCATTGTGAGTAACTACTGTTACTATACTATGTTATTAATACAATGTTATTCTGTTGTCATCTCACCTATCTCTGCCCAGATGTTACCAAAGAAGCATCCTGAAGGCTGCGAACCATCTTTGTCCTGATAATGGTACTTGTGAGAAGGCCCCCTGGGTGCACAGAACAGCAGTGTGAGTGGTATACCAAGTTCTCACCAGACGTTAACATTATTTATAACACTCTAAATATCTTGTCATGTGTTAGAGTTGTTACATTATGCACAGCACCTCCTAGAGGGTTGTATGCATATAATCTGATGCTGTAGTATCTCAGACATGGTAGCAGCTCTGTTTCCACCTGTCGTGTGGTGGCATTGTAGGATGGGAAAACAATCTATTTATTACTGTTTAATTTATAGTAATAATTTAAAAACGTTGTTATAACATTGTTATGTCATTTGAATGAAGGCAGTGTGGTGAGTGACAGATGCAGGCTTCCTGTGTGTGTTACCTGATAAACGGTTTGTAGTATCCAGTTGTTGAGTTATTGTTTGCAGATGGTAATGATTTCAGCGAATTCCCACGCAGCATAGTTTGATAAGCCAAGCTCCTTGTATTTCCCCTGAAAACCAACATAGAAATAAAGACCATGCCCAAAGTGCATGAATATATCCCTGCATTAGCATAATATTGCAATAGTGAAATAATTTCATGGACGATTATATTGCCACCACTATTATTTTTTTCTTACTCAAATATCAGAAGCAAGGGTTGGAACCGGTTCAGGGAACAGAACCGAAAACCGGAAAACGACATTTTTCAAGGAACAGATTCAGAGCCGGGAACAAAAGTGATCTATACTGTTCCGGAACAGAACTGTTATTTTAAAAGCATGGGAACCGGTTAATAAAGTTATTTTAAATTATGGGAATTATTTTCCAGTCTCACAAAAAAAAACACAACAAAGCACCTATGCAAAGCCCTCACTCTGTCACTCAGAAACGTATTCCAGTGTCACCCTGCCAGCTGAAAAGCTTTGCCAGTGTTTGTGCGGATGTGTAGGCTACCTGCCCCTCCCCCTCTGAAGCATAGGCTACTGTATCCTACTGACGTTACAAGCGTTATTCAGAAATTAGGGAGAGATATTTTTAATTAGAGAAGAATGGATTAACTTTTTCTATGCTAGTTAAGGATACTATAGTTATCACGTTTCACATTGGATTTATTAACTACAAAAAGGTAATACTTTTTTTGTTTTTGTGCAGTTCTGCACACATAAGCATGCTAGCTAGCTCTGGTCCAACATTAAGTTAAAAGACATTCAAAGTTCCTTCATAGAAGCCGCTCCTCCGTAGGTATAATTATGTCGGCCTAATTCATGTCATAAGAAGATGCCCAGTGCTTCAAGCCAAGCCTCCTCCTCCACACTCTCGCTCTCTCTCTCTCTCTCTCTCTCTCTCTCTCTCTCTCTCTCTCTCTCTCTCTCTCTCTCTCTCTCTCTCTCTCTCCACCTGCAAAATTTCAGTTGCATCTAACGCCCTACACTTGTCTGTCCAATGCAGGTAACCAACTATAGCTTGCCCAATCGATAGCAAGCTGCTCTATGCGCACTGATTGGTGAAGTAATTGAATGTTGAGCTAAACGTAAAAAAAAAAAAAAAAGATTTCAGAGGTTTTAAAAGGATCGAAACTGTTAATTTTTTGGGGTTCGAACTGGTTCAGAACTTTATTTTGCTGGTCAGAACAGTGGAACGAAAAAATAGTGGTTCTGTTCAGAACAAAACTATTGGAAAATAATTTGCTGTTCCAACCCGATCAGAAGCACAGTAATCACTGGATCATTACAGCATGCTTTTCTGAAGAGGTTGGAACAGCAATTGAGATGTAGCCTGTGTTGCGACTTAGTTTTTTTTTGTGTTGCACTGGCATTTTAGTTAATAGTGCTGACCAGGCCTGTTGGTTTGAGATGTGCCTGTGGTAGGTGTGAGGAGGGTAACCCCTAGTGAGGCCAGTACCTCTTTGTGGAGCTCATTGCAGGCCTGCAGTGTGTTCTGGATGGGGTTCTGATGGTCTGGAGCGTGGAGGTAGAAGATGTCCACAGACCGAGTATGCAGCCTCTTCAGGGAGGTCCAGCTGTGAACACACACTGTCTGGTTTCAGGGTCTTTCACTCACAGGGGTTGGCCTTGGTGGCAATGCTCACTGGAGATACAGGCAATAAAACAAATGGCTGATAAGGTCCAATAACTTCAGAGAGCATGTGTAAGAAGTTACAGTGGTAGGCCCTAATGTAGCAGAGGTTTGAAACATTGTAGCTAACTTGCACTTTGAAGCTAGGATTCTATTTCTGGACACATTTTAGGCACTGCATGTGGGTTAACTTTTCTTACACTCACACACATTTGTTGAACTCTTCTCTTCTTCTCCTGTTCTCTGTTGTTAGGCCTACATGCCTATTTGCCAATGCAATCTGGTGACATAAAAGCTGCTGCAGCATACTTTGCTTCGATTGTATACTGAGACTTACAGTATTGGAAAACTGCATTGTGTTTTGGCATGTCACTTTTGTTTACAATTTTTAGTTAGGCCTACAGTATTACAACTGGATTAGTTACTATTTTGGGGGGAGATTAATTCCCCCAATGAATGTTTCTGCCTGTCCATCTGTGTACATGAAGGCAGTGTCCAGGTCATTGTGGCCGTGCTCCAAGTAGGCTTTCACCATGTTTGTGCTCGTCTCCGCATCAGCACGCCGCCCGAAAACGCCATCGATCCCAGTAGAGAAATCAGGCGTTTTGATTGTGCTGATCCGGTCGAAGACATGTTGCGATGATGACAAACAATCCGCGGTAAATACTTGGATCCTGAAGCATGTCACTCTGTGGTGAAGTCCACACAGGCCTACTCTAGCTGCTCCCCAAAGAATAATGAACCTTGTGGTGTCAGCTGAGCACATCTAGGCGCAAACAGAGAGGTACAAAGTAGTATGTCAAAGTTGCCAAACGCTTTCGTGGACGTAAAATGGGAACCCGACTTTCACAAACATAATTGGTTCATATTTGGAGGAGGTTGTTGAGTGCAGAGTTCAGTTGCCTCTTTCTGAGAATGATTTCCAGGTTAAGAGTCCTGTCAACAATTTGAATGCCTTCTCTTGCGTAGTTCTCATTTCAACCAGATGATGTCAGCAAAGTACAAGGCAAAGACTTCATCATTGCCTTGCATTGATCATAATACCAATAGCCTAAATAACAGTAACACAGGCTACATGCTAAAGATAAGCACTAATTTCAACCAATATGTTACTGTCTTCTTCCATGTGGTCCTGTGTCGCTCATTTGGTAGAGCATGGCGCTTGCAACGTCAGGGTTGTGGATTCGTTTCCCACGGGTTACCAGTATGAAAATAAAGGATGAAAATGTATGCTCTCACTACTGTAAGTCGCTCTGGATAAGAGCGTCTGCTAAATGACTAAAATGTAAATGTAAAATGTAACATTTATAAACTATCTATCTATAAACAAATAATTAATGTGTAAATAATTTACGCTCTTATCCAGAGCGACTTACAAATTTGACTTATACAACCTTCATAAATCCTGTATAAAGGAGGTCTGTAACTATCATAAGTTACAGCTTCCCCTTTATTAGGGAAACCCCTTTGGTACCCCTCACAAACTTTTCCCCACATTCATCTGATTGCCTTTTCTCCTAGCTCATCAACCTGTCATCTGAATGGGCTACATGGTTAAATAAATAAATCACAGTCTTCTAATATGGATGTCAATGTGGGGACTTCAGCATGTTTGCGGAGTCATGGTCTATGTGGAATACTCTGTGCCCTTGCGTCACTTTCTTGTAAACAGAAGCCGGCACTAACAAGACCGTAACTATTAGGAAAGTATTTTCCCAGCCTATCCAAGTTAGACATTGACACATTTGAAGTAGTTGGCTATAACTCCAGTCATAGTAAAATGAATCAGATTAATGACAGATGCACTGTATCAAGACGAGGGATAATCCCACACATTTCTGTTCTCCAATGTTGTCATTAAAAAATAAAACCACGTTCCTAATTACCACTAATATTTTGGAGGGCAGACATTATTTTACCTGTGTACAGTGGGGAAAAAAAGTATTTAGTCAGCCACCAATTGTGCAAGTTCTCCCATTTAAAAAGATGAGAGAGGCCTGTAATTTTCATCATAGGTACACGTCAACTATGACAGACAAATTGAGAAAAAAAATCCAGAAAATCACATTGTAGGATTTTTAATGATTTTATTTGCAAATGATGGTGGAAAATAAGTATTTGGTCACCTACAAACAAGCAAGATTTCTGGCTCTCACAGACCTGTAACTTCTTCTTTAAGAGGCTCCTCTGTCCTTCACTCGTTACCTGTATTAATGGCACCTGTTTGAACTTGTTATCAGTATAAAAGACACCTGTCCACAACCTCAAACAGTCACACTCCAAACTCCACTATGGCAAAGACCAAAGAGCTGTCAAAGGACACCAGAAATAAAATTGTAGACCTGCACCAGGCTGGGAAGACTGAATCTGCAATAGGTAAGCAGCTTGGTTTGAAGAAATCAACTGTGGGAGCAATTATTAGGAAATGGAAGACATACAAGACCACTGATAATCTCCCTCGATCTGGGGCTCCACGCAAGATCTCACCCCGTGGGGTCAAAATGATCACAAGAACGGTGAGCAAAAATCCCAGAACCACACGGGGGACCTAGTGAATGACCTGCAGAGAGCTGGGACCAAAGTAACAAAGCCTACCATCAGTAACACACTACGCCGCCAGGGACTCAAATCCTGCAGTGCCAGACGTGTCCCCCTGCTTAAGCCAGTACATGTCCAGGCCCGTCTGAAGTTTGCTAGAGTGCATTTGGATGATCCAGAAGAGGATTGGGAGAATGTCATATGGTCAGATGAAACCAAAATATAACTTTTTGGTAAAAACTCAACTCGTCGTGTTTGGAGGACAAAGAATGCTGAGTTGCATCCAAAGAACACCATACCTACTGTGAAGCATGGGGGTGGAAACATCATGCTTTGGGGCTGTTTTTCTGCAAAGGGACCAGGACGACTGATCCGTGTAAAGGAAAGAATGAATGGGGCCATGTATCGTGAGATTTTGAGTGAAAACCTCCTTCCATCAGCAAGGGCATTGAAGATGAAACGTGGCTGGGTCTTTCAGCATGACAATGATCCCAAACACACCGCCCGGGCAACGAAGGAGTGGCTTCGTAAGAAGCATTTCAAGGTCCTGGAGTGGCCTAGCCAGTCTCCAGATCTCAACCCCATAGAAAATCTTTGGAGGGAGTTGAAAGTCTGTGTTGCCCAGCGACAGCCCCAAAACATCACTGCTCTAGAAGAGATCTGCATGGAGGAATGGGCCAAAATACCAGCAACAGTGTGTGAAAACCTTGTGAAGACTTACAGAAAACGTTTGACCTGTGTCATTGCCAACAAAGGGTATATAACAAAGTATTGAGAAACTTTTGTTATTGACCAAATACTTATTTTCCACCATAATTTGCAAATAAATTCATAAAAAATCCTACAATGTGATTTTCAGTATTTTCTTTTCTAATTTTGTCTGTCATAGTTGACGTGTACCTATGATTAAAATTACAGGCCTCTCTCATCTTTTTAAGTGGGAGAACTTGCACAATTGGTGGCTGACTAAATACTTTTTTCCCCCACTGTATGTAGGAAATTGCATGATTTTTTTCCATTATAGAGTATGACGCCAAGTGTCAAATAACACTTTTTTTGGGAAAGGGTTGTTTTGCCATTAACAGCTGCCCCCAGTGTTTGTTATGAAGTTGACATGGTAGAAAAGTGCAGAACAGTGGGTTGGTGGTATAGGCATGTGTACGTTGCTTAATTTGCATATTTTTCTTAACAATATTTCAGAAAATGTGTAATACAAATATTGTCATATTTGTGTCTACATTTTGGTATATATGAAGACAAAAAAAATACTCTATCCGGTGTGGTGCCTGGCCTTAGCCTATGCAGTATACTATTCAGGCCACCTGTAATTATGTAGTTCAGGGATCTTTAACCTTTTCTTGCCCAGGGACCCCCTCCCAGGCAAACCAGCGAACCAGGGACCCCCATCATATGTTAGCAAAAATTATAATAATCACGTCTTGTCTTATCATCAGGTGAATGATAATGGTAATTAGAAGTAATCAACATTTTAAAATGGGATTTGGTAGATATCGTTTTTCATTATTTTGACCTCCACCACATTATAATTGGAAGAGGAAGTGTAAACTCTATCTTAGCCTATTAGCTAGAAAGGTAACTCAAAACACATTTTTGCTAAGAGCAGCTGTTTAGCTGGTTAAACAAAGGTTAGCCATGTGTTGGCAAAAATGAATGTCCAAGTCAAGAAAGCTTACCAGCAGCCAGCAGCAGCAGCCACACTGGTAGCCTATTACCGGGTGCTTTTTCAAAGCATATGCCAGGTACTCCAGTGAGTGTAATTTTCTCAATATTAGGAGTTGAGAAATAAAGTTGGCATCATTAGAAAGAAGATATTTTCCTATTGTAGGTATGTAACCCACTTTTACTTTGTATATTTCCATTGACCCCCAGTTGAATACCCCTGATGTAGTTATATATTTACATTTTAGTCATTTAGCAGATGCTCTTATCCAGAGCGACTACAGTTAGTGAGTGCATAATTTTTTTTTTTCATACTGGCCCCCCGTGGGAATCGAACCCACAACCCTGGCGTTGCAAACGCCATGCTCTACCAACTGAGTTACATCCCTGCTGGCCATTCCCTCCCCTACCCTGGGCCAATTGTGCGCCGCCCCATGGGTCTCCCGGTCACGGCTGGCTACGACAGAGCCTGGATTCAAACCAGGATCTCTAGTGGCACAGCTAGCACTGCAATGCAGTGCCTTAGACCACTGCGCCAATCGGGAGATAGCTTCTGTTGACTTTTTTAAAAAAACATTCCAAATGAAATTAGACTCTGTTTCAGACTCTGTAACATCCATAACCCTGATACAGATGGAGACACAATGACTATAACAATAGTAATAATAATAATAATAATAATAATAATAATAATAATAACAAACAATTATACGCTGAGTGTACAAAACATAAGGAACACCTGCTCTTTCAATGAAATAGACTGACCAGGTGAATCCAGGTGAAAGCTATGATCACTTATTGATGTCATTTGTTAAATCCACTTCAATCAGTATAGAATGGATGAAGGGGAGGAGACAGGTTAAAGAAGGATTTTTAAGCCTTAAGACAATTGAGACATTGATTGTGTTTGTGTGCCATTTAGAGGGTGAATGGACAAGACAAAAGATTTAAGTGCCTTTGAACGTGGTATGGTAGTAGGTGCCAGGCGCACTAGTAAGAGTGTGTCAAGAACTGCAGCACTGCTGGGTTTTTAATGCTCAACAGTTTCCCGTGTGTATCAAGAATGGTCCACCACCCAAAGGACATCCAGCTAAGGTGTTCCTAATGTAATTTGGTAGGCTATTTAAAAAATGCTAATTATATCAGGACAATGTCTTCAAATTATGTATAACTATTGCAGAAGAACAATCCATGGCCCAAATGTAGGCTACGCTACCCATTCTATCCATTCTATCCATTCTATCCATTGCAGTGGTAATTACAGTCACCTCCAAAATGATTGGCACCCTTGATAAAGATTTGCAAAATTACTGTATAAAATAGATTATATACAAATGCCGACCTATATTGTATGCAAAAAAAAATACACTTATAATATTTTATACTAATACAATTGTTCAGGTAAAGAGATTTTGTTTAACAAGTAAATACAAAATCTCAAAAAGATTGATGTCAAAAATATTGGCACCCCTAAAGATTCTTATAAATAAAATCAAACAAAATAAAATCTGCATTAACATTATACTTTAAAAAATTATTCTCAGTTTA